GTGAGCTATATTTTGAGTTGTTTTGAACCTAATTAAGGACGAAATGTATGCTGTGTGTAGTTTTTCTGTAGTTGGTAACATATCGGAGACTGTAAGGGGCTGTATGTGTTCATATATGTTCATTTATTTATTTGTTTTATATAATTACAGACGTTACAGTAGGCTATTTGATCTGCAGTTATAATCAACTCATGTTTGTAGAAATGGTAGTAATAAACATTTATACAATTTGTATGTATGTATTGTATGTATGTATGTAGTATTTGTGTGTAAAGTGTCTGTTTTGTGAGAAGTGCTTTTCATATGATATGTGACTACTTGTGCAGCTTTATTGTAGACATTTTCTCGAACGAGCATGACGTCGACTGAAACTTTGTCATACACCACGCCCACCAAAAGGGTACCCTTGCTAGTGGAAACGCAAGCCTAATAAAGGTGACCCGTACCGACCCGAACCGTACCATACTGTACCAGTCAGTGGAAACGAGCCATTAGTGCTTTCTAAATGACCACATAAGCACTGAAAAATGTAGGGATTTGTGTGTAGAGTTTTGCAGTAATAGTTCACCAAATATAACTCATGTGCCAAATCAGTGTTTAAAGTATAGGGAAATGCTTGTGCTTTTTGAAAAATAGCATTATAGTTTTGACATTTTTAGTTCAAAAGGTTGATTATAGTGTTTTAGCAAATGGGAAAATGTGGTTTATTTATAAATGATGTGAAGTTTATTTATAAACTACTTTTGAGAGGACCGCGTGCTTATGATTGCTTGCGGCAAATCGACACCATAGACCTGCTCCTGGTAAGTAGTTATCTCTTAAGAGCAGTCACTATCTGTTCATTAACTACTACAGCAGGGGAGTTCTCGAGATCTACCTGAGCTCAAACTCCCCTCTCGCCTTCCAAACAGGAGGGAGCCCCGGGCTCGAGGATCTTATGAGCCCAGGGCTCTCTCCCGGGACAGCATGCCAAATTATTAGCTAAGTGTGAACTCTTAAAATAATATAATGTATAAGAAGTATTATACAGAATAGTAAGTCGGTAAAATAACAGGAAATGTTCTGACAGTTACCTTAATATACAACACCAACCCAGACAATTTTTCACTTAAAACTATTAAAAATGTCAATAAAAGAAACTTTTCAAGGTTCAAAGTTTTGTAAAAAAAAAAAAAAAAAAGATCAAAGTCCCATAATGCAATTCAAAAGTTGTTCATAAACAAATTGGAAAAATAAAAATAAGAATCACATAATATAGAAAACTGCTAAATTATGGATTATTTTACAGTGCATGGCTTGTATATTAAAGGCAGTACTCTTGTGCACATATACGCTTGCATTTATGCTGTACTATATTTTTCTTTTCTCTTTTTACTGAATTGGCAATAAATCTATTTTTTTTAAATTGATTTTTATTTGAGTTATATAATTTTCTGTACTCTCTGTATATCTAATCATATCATGTTACACATATTAAATGAACTTCAGTTGCACCTGTATTGTCAACCTTGACAAAGGCAAGACAGATCTTGCTGGATCTTTGCCAGATCTGTCTGATAGTGTCTGCGCCAGACTTGGGCCACATAAAATCTTATGTTAAAGAGTGTCCAGATCTATAGAATGTATGCATCGGTGTCTATAGTGTGTGCTAGTTTTGGGCTTAAGAACCAGGTTTAGTGGGCCGGAACATAGGCAGATGTTTGTGGAGGAAATGGCTGCCTACCTATGTGTATTTGTGGTGTGTGTGTGTGTGTGTGTGTGTGTGTGTGTGTGTGTGTGTGTGTGTGTGTGTGTGTGTGTGTGTGTGTGTTTGTGTTTGTGTTTGTGTGTGGTCACTACCCACTGCTGTGTGTGTGTGTCATGTGAATGGATGAAATGCTGGGCACAAATTGTGAGTATGAGACACCAGACTGGGTCATGAGTCTAGAGTCTACTTTCTCCTTATGCAAACAGTGTTGTGCCGATCAAACATATCCAAGTTGGATGATAAAAACAAGCTTGCTTCACACGCCATTCAAGCACATGAAATAACTTTTTTAAGCCAACACTTACATTTGCTTTTGAGAAACACACCCATGACGTTTCCTGATCATGAAAGGTTTTTAAATTTATGAAGGAAATTCTACAGTGTTTGCCAAAACAACAGCAAACGAACAAACCCCAAAAAAGTTTCACGATACAGATTTCCTATGCTGGTGTAGGTGATTAACATTTACAAAGTGCTTGTGTAAACAGCACCACCTAATGGAATGCTAACATTTTGAGTAACTCCAAGCTATTTTTAGCTGCTAGAGCTCAATATTTAGCAATTTTTTTTTTTAAATGTTTGCTTACTGATCATCTTCATGCCGTATGTGTTGAGCTCTCATTCGCTGCCAGCTAAATATCTACAGGAGCCATAATTTGATGAATAGCTTGTTTGTACTGGAACTGTCCAAGAGGCTACCATTGCGTCACTTTTTGGAAAGAATACAGAAGAAACATTTTGGAGGGAGAAAACAGTAAACAGATATTTTATTTCCTTAATTGTCAGAAGCTTTGACATGAGCATGAAAAACATCGAATGTAAGATTTACTCTAGTAGTTTTAATGCTAAAAAGCATTAAGACAGTCCAACTATTTTAAACTATGCAATAAAATATAATGATTAATTTCACTGCCGCGGCATGGGCCGGTATAAGATTCTGATAGTATGATAACCTTGGATAAAAATATCATGGTTTTATGGTATCACAGAATTGTGATCACTGCTCTAAAATCTGTTCTTTTTTAATGTCTGGGTAAAAAAGTTTTTCCTCCTTTTTAAACACAGTACATTTTATTTTTTGAAAGATTTGTAATATTTTGGAGCAGTAAACATGTCAGACTAAATAATTCAACTGAATTATTGACTTCTGTCTTCATTTGTTTCAAAAACACAGATTTCTTTACAATTCACGACAGCATCTTTGGATATTTTTTGGAGATATTGTTGTCTTAAAAAACTAAAAAGTGTAAATAAAAATCTTACACATACCTTAGGAACAGTATTACATATTCTAAAACCTTGACTTTACCAAACCGCGGTATACCCTAAAAACGGTCATCGTCCCATGCCTATTCTCTTGTTGGTCCCCTCTTGTTTTCAGCCACACACTTGTATGTCTTAATGTTTTGTCGTGTTATTTTCACTTTTACTTTGTTTCATTCATTCATTTTCCTTCGGCTTAGTCTCTTATTCATCAGGGGTCGCCACAGTAGAATGAACCACCAACTGTTCCAGTATATGTTTTACTCAGGATGGCCTTCCAGCCACAACCCAGTACTGGAAACAACCATACACACTCATTCACACTCACACTCATACACTTCGGCGAGAACATGCAAAGCCCACACAGAAATGCCAACTGGCCCAATCAGGGCTCAAACCAGTGACCTTCTTGCTCTGAGGTGACAGTCCTAACCACTGAGCCTCCGTGCCGCCCACTTTGTTTCACTAGTTGTTTATCCATCATTTGATTGGATGTTGATTCTGCCTTTGGGGCATAAACCACCATTTACCAAGACAATTACGGAAGAATTACAATTAAGGAAGAAAGAGGCAGGACCCATTTAGAGTATCTTACATTTACTTATGACATTTACTTATCTTACATGTATCTTTACTACATGTAAGAAAGTTTTTTTTTGTTTGTTTGTTATAATATCTAGCTTTTGAGGATCTTTTGGTCTACTTTACTTGTTCAGGCAGGTCCTATGTAAGTGATTTCTTGTTTGGCTAAAAATACTGTAAATTCATTTTCCTTCAACTTAGTCCCTTATTTATCAGGGGTCACCACAGCGGAATGAAGTACCGTGCCACCCACTTTGTTTCACTAGTTGTTTATCCATCATTTAACTGAATGTTGATGTTGCTTTTGGGGCACAAACGACCAATTACCAAGATAATTACCAAGAGATATCAACACAAACACATTGAGGATTACCTAAAATGTGTTCCTTCCCAATGGTCCATGAACCCACATTGATCAATAACACATCCGAATCGCGAGTAGTTATACTGTGTTGAGTTTTTTTGTGGGTGTTTGGAGTTTACACCAGAAATGCGTGCAATCGCTTAAACTCACACTCATTCAAGGAGGAAAGAGGCAGGAGCTATTTAGAGTAAAGTAGTACACTCTCAGAAATAAAGGTACAAGAGCTGTCTCTGGGGCAGTACCTTTTCAAAAGGTACATATTTGTACCTAAAAAGTCCTTAATGGTACCTCAAAGGTACATATCAGTACCCAAGTGCACCTAAAATGTACCTTTGAGGTACCAACATAGACTCTTCAGGTACAAATATGTATCTTTTGAAAGGTACTGCCCCAGTGAGCTCCTGTACCTTTATGTCTGAGAGTGTACATAGGGATGGTTTTCTTTTGTTGTTTTGTTTTTCTTTTGGTATGATATCTGCTTTTTGAGGATCTTTTGGTCTACTTCACCGGGTCAGATGGGTCCTATTTCAGTGATTTCTTGATTGGCTGAAAAAAATGACTAAATTGTTACAACTAAATTGATCAATTTACCTCAAATTATAGTTTTGACTTGAGTGAAAACTGTTGGTTTAAAGTAAAAATACTTATTTTTCCTAGGGGGGTTGTTTTTTGTTTTAAGGCTAATTTAAGATTTTTTATTTTTAAAACAGTTTAGAATCAGGAACCATATTTTTTTTCCTAATATCAAAATTTACTTTAAATGAAATACACAGATAATTTCACTTTTTTTCAGTGCAAATAGTGAGATGTATAAAGTAGAAAGTATTATCGTCATTATTATTTTATTTATTTATTTTTAGAATGGAAAATATTATAGGATCCAATTACCAAAAAGAGGCTTAGCAGACTAAAATTGTATTAGTCACATTTTGTTTTTAATACACAGGATAGTGAAATTAATTATGCTTAAACAGAACATGCAAACTCTTTACCATTAATAATCAACCTCCGAGTGCAAGTTGTAGAATTAAGAACAACAATTAATGCATTTCACAAACTGTCAACTCTATTTGCCATTTTTAATCTTTACTGCAATTAAAGCATGAAACTCTTCAGCTAAATGAAACTTTGAGTAAAGCAGCTGTCAATCACGCATCTGCTGGTGCTGCTTCTGCTGGCGCTGCTTCTGCTGGTGCTGGTTCTGCTGGTGCTGGTTCTGCTGCTGCTGCTGCTGGTGCTGCTGTTGCTGGTGCCTGATTTGCTGAAGGCTGAACATTCTGTGGAACCTTACCCGGAGCATTCTGTGGAACATTCTGTGGAATCTTCTTGCTCCCTTTTAAACCACTGCCTTTCTTCTTGGACCTGGGAAACATAAACACTGATATTATAATATCGTGTGGATCTTTATGTTGGGTTTGTTAAATTTAAATACACTCATCAGATATTCGGTCAAATCAATCGCTCTCTAGAGTCTGTATTGTCCAGCCTCCTACACTATAAATAAGGCTGGGGCTGAAATCAGGGTGTGAATTACTTTACTTTTTTAATGATTAAATTTTTCACTATATTAATTTCGTAAGGAGCACGTGAAATGATTGATCAAAGCTGGTCTCTCATCTGCAATCATCGGTTAAACAGATTAATCCAAGCCTACATTGAATAGCCCATATTACCTTACTTCCTTATCTTCGTTTTTGAAGATTCCCCTTGTCCACCCCATTTCCTCCTTTGTCTCCTTTACCAGGGGGAGCTCTTCTTGAGAACTACCTGATCTCGAACTCTTCTAAATGCTAATTGACCAGACAGGAGCCCTGGGCTCAATTATCTCCGAGGTCAGGCATCTCTCCCAGGAGGACAGCTTGCCCAACCGGCTATTAGTCTCAAGCAATATCTAAGTGTGAGCTCTTGAATGTTAGTTTGTGTAATACATGCTTCAGTGTATTAAATTCAAGTATTTATTTAAACTACATCTAATTTATTAATAAAAGTCTGTGTTTTGAGGGATATTTAATGTATTCTGACCTGCAGTAACCTCTATTTTCAGAGCTTAATGTAGGTCAAACTATACAAATGCATTTAAAAATGAGCTGAAATACAGTTATTGAGATTTTTCTGGCACAACTTAATAGTTTTAGGTTCAATCCGCTAAAATTTGTTATCCTAATCAATTTGTGCTGGGACAACATGAATGAATTGTGTGGAAACCAGCATTTTTGACACTGTAAGAAAGAGACATGAGGCTTTAAGTTACTTTCCAGAACCTTTTCATTCACTTTTCCTTGCCGGTGGCATGACATTCCCATTCACACGCAGACTGCTGATTCACTGGTATCATTTAAACCACAACTCCTCTTTAGTGAACACTTGAGCACTTTATTATTAGCAATATTAAAAATCCCCTCCCCTTCCTCACTATCTGAGCACTAGTTCATTTATGATTAGTACTTCTAGTGTTTATTCACTCTTCTTGTTGAATCGCCGAATGCCTCCTCATTTCACGCTTGGACAAAATTATCTGCTAACTGTAACTTTAATCAGTCGTTATTAAATTTAATAATTGGCTGTTTAATAAATCTCTTCCCATCTTCCTTTTTCAGTTCATATTATACCAAGACATAATTCTGCTTGTTTCAGGGTACTTCTGTGGACCTTTAAAATGTTAAAAAGACATACTGATTCTTAGAGCCTCTAAAGATTCTGCCATCTACTGAAGAGATCACAAAATACACCAGGCAGGTCAGAAGAAGGATCTTCACTGGTACAGTCAAACCCTGAAGTGAACAAACACACAAGAATATAAACACGTGTTCGCTGAAAACACAAAGAACATCATGCTTGCTTGTTAAGAAATAAATAGAATTTGAGCTTTAATGTTTAGGTGAGCTTGAGCTTTTGAAATTAGCAGAGAACGTCAGTTGTTTTATTTACTCATTTAGGATCAGTCTTGGGTGCTGTCATGTTTGCCAGCGACATCTGGTGGTTGTTCGCTGGTAAACATGACAGATGCATTGACTTACAAAGTAACTACTGTGGTTAAACGACTAATTTAGCTATTTTTACTCATAATCTACTTGCCTTAACTGCTAATTTGAACAGTTCTTTATAAATTAAATTATTTTTTTTTTACAAATTTTATTTTGCAAAATAATGTGTGAAATTACGGGAGTTTTCCAGGAGAAACAACAAAACGGGAGGGTGACGGGAGATAGGTCTGAAATACAGGAGACTCCTGGGAAAAACGGGAGTGTTGGCAGGCATAAATATAATATAAATTCAGAGAACTAGTATTTTTCTTTTATATATGCAAACACACAAATAAATATCATTACATGTATCAAAACATGAACAAAACTTATTAAAATAAAGTATTTAAAATAAAGCTAAAAGGCCTGTGTTTGGCTTATATGTTAAAAGACATAAAACAGTTTAATTACTATTGTCTAAACCAGGAGTTCCCAAACATTTCAGCCCGTGACCCCCAAAATAACAGTCACTGGGGTGGTTATAAGTATCCGCTTGTTGAGTGTGAGGTCACACGAAGCGGCTTCCGGGTCCAAGTGCTTAATCAAACTGTATGGGGAGACTCGATAAATGGTAATAATAACCGTTTACAAAACGATCTAATACTTTCGAAAATCACTATTGCATTATATTTATCCATGCCTAATATTCGATGGCCAGAAAGTGAATTATTCTTTATAAATTTTTCAAATATTGATGTCTGTGTTGCAGCAAGTCCAGACACTGATGTGTACACCATTATTTTATATAAGAAATACTTTAATGTGTGATAGAACTAAAAAGGGATCTTGAAGGAATATTTTCTCAATTCAAATGAGTGGTACCCGGAAACAGTATTCTATACGTCACAGATACGTCACGACTTAACAAGCGGATAGAAACCTTGCATGCAATGGCACACACACACCAATAGGCCCAAGTCTATTCTTTGTTTAATTCTTAAATGTATGTGGTGTAAAGCCATAATTGATTAAAATGTAATATAGTGTTTATTTTGATGGATAAAGCAAGGACAATAATTGAAAACAGTTTAAAATGCACTAGGTTTACAAATAAATGTAAAATCTAAATATTGACTGTGGTAGCCTAAAATTAGGCTTTTTGGCCTTACCGTTAAATATACGGTAGAAACCGTAAAACAGTTTTCTACAATTAACAGTAAACTATGTTTTTCATTTATTTTTATTGTATTTTTTAAAAGAAAAATTCTAAATAATTTTTTTTCAGTGTATCTTTACTTTACTTTAACTGTAATCATCATTCACTCAAGCATCTATAGAAAAAAAAATTGTGCACTTTACGGATAATCAGATTCAAAATTTCTAAACTCTCTTTATACAAAAAAGAAAAACATTAAAAGGAAGAGCTGGATCTGAATGTAATACATACCATGATGTCTGTCCTAACTTGAGTAGATGCTTGGAGATCTTCTGAGATGAATGTTGGATCTGTGACTGGGGAGAACTCATTTTATTCTGCTCCTATGCAAAATATCTGGAAAGATAATCCGCTAACAGCAACTTCTATAATTTTCTGTTTGATAAAATGATATCTTTTGCAAATGATGCATTAATTAAAGTTGTAATAATGTTTCTAATAATGCATTTTAAGCCACTGTAAGCACAACAATTTTGTTAACTTTTAATTAATTTAAAAAAATTTGGTTCTGTGTTTTGTGAGCAACACAGATAAGTCCTGAAGTAACTCAACTAAAATCACCAGATTAATTCAGTCATTGTGGCTATTTAATATGCCTCCAACAAGGTTCAGTTGAATACAAAAGTGTTGTGAAAATGTAATACTTTTCCAATTATAATATAAGTGATGTTTAACAAAGCAAGGACATTTATTTCACAGTATTTCCTATTTATATTTCTCTTCTCATACTATTTTAGTTTGGCTGGAATTAAAAAAAAAAGTTTTAAAAATATGCTAAGGTCAATATTATTAGTCTCTTTAGGAAATACTCTTTCCGTTTGGTCACAAAACAAAGCCCTGTTGTCTAATAACTTGTCTAATTAACCTAGTTAAACTTTAAATTTTCACTTTGAGCTGAATACTACTACTGTACTATTATTTTGCAAAATGACTGATAATAAAATATATTGTGCTTTTATTGTACTTTATAATATTATGGCTTTTAATCATTTAATTAACTGCATTATAAAGTACTAGTGTGATATGAAGACAAAATTTAATGCTGTTGAAAAATGCAAAATAAGTGGCACTGAAGTCTGACAAGAAGACGTTGTGTTGATACGGCTATTTTGCATTTGCGTTTCACAAGCTAATGATATGTTTTCTCATTGGAGCATGCATATCTCTCCGGTTATCAAAGTTGGCTTTTAGCCCTGAGTCCGCTGATCTCAAAGTATGTACAGTTTGAAGTCAGAATTTTCCCCCTTTTATAAATTTTTTTAATAAAAAATTTCCAAATAATGTTTAACAGAGCAAGGAATTTCTTACAGTATTTCCTATAATATTTTTTCCTCTGGAGAAAGTCTTATTTGTTTTATTTCAGCTAGAATAAAAGCAGTTTAAGACATTTCAAGGTCAAAATTATTAGCACGCTTAAGCAATATATTTTTTTCGATAGTCTAAAGAACAAACCATCGTTATACAATACAATGACTTGTCTAATTACACTAACTTGCCTAATTAAGCCTTTAAATGTTACTTTAAGCTGAATTCTGATATTTTGAAAAATATCTAGTAAAATATTATGTACTGTCATCATGGCAAAGATAAAATAAAGATGTATAGATGTATCTAATTCATGCTTTATCAACAAAATATCACATTTTCTTTAGTGTACAGTTTCCTTTTTAATTCTAAAATTTAGACCCTGGTCCTGACAGAACATGGTTTAATTTCCCCAATTTAGCCATTTTCCAAGACTCTTTCACCGTTTCATTTTATGCTTATATGTGGTTGTTGAAGTTTTAATGCAGCCGCATGTAAACATGTAACGCTAACACAAGACACAAAACTGAACGCAAGACACCATCGCAAGGTACGCAAGTAAAAACACTTACCATGTGTTCACATATGTGACAGTGGCGCCTGCAGCCGTACCTACCATACATTTTTATTTATTTATTTATTTACGTAATTTAAATGGATTATTAAACAGTATACACTATGATATATTGACAAAGCCAGAAAGAATGACAACAAATAAAGGTGTGCGTTTGTGTGTTTTAAAGCGTGTACTGTATGTACTTGGTGGGAGATGGGTAAAGAAAAGTATTGGCTTTAGTTTTGCTGCTTTTCACTAAACGTTACAATTCAGAGAGCTATTGATTAAAACAAGGTTCAAAGTGAGTAAACTCTTTTTAAAACAGATAAACTTAATTAAGACATTTGCCAAAAGGCCTAAAACTAATGAGACAAATATTGATCCCCCACATGGAGTGGAGACCGCAGTCTCATCAGCACCTGAACCAGGGAAACTGTCTCTTTCATCAGACAGATCAGATCCAGCTGCTGCACAGCGTCCTTGCATGGAACGGCTACCATTCAAGATGTTTTAAACAATTTTATCTAAGAGACTGGCATAAATAAGCAGACATCTCCATTCTCACAACGAGTTTCTGAGTTTTCTCACCCCTCCAACTGAGTTTGTTCCACCGAGGTAATGAACATATTCAGTGCTGTTGCGAATACTTTGTAAACGCCTGTCCCACTCATTCAGATTATTTGATTAAATTAACTAAATTGTAATTGACTGGTGCAACATGGAAAAGTTTATTACAGGCTTATCTGAAACTGAATATTTCACTTGAATTTATGTAGGATAGATTATTATTTTATTTGACAATCCAGTTCATGATTCGGCATTGTTGAAGCATAGCCTGGAAACAATTAACACTTACATCACTAAAGCTGTTTAATCACTAATGAATAAAACTCAAACACAAATCACCTTGAACTATATTTGAAAGCTTTCACTAGGTGTTGCATGAGTTAGTCCACTCTCAGGAATTAAGGTTTAGTGCTAGTTCTAGGGAGACCTAATGACACTTCACTCGTTACAATCAAACAATAACCACAGCACACAAACAATATGTACAGTATAAGCAGCCCATTCATTAATTTAGTTTGTTTGCAGACGTTGATCCAGACATTCAGTACTCTTGTCAATTAAATGTATTTCAGTATCATATTTATCTTCCTGCTCTTTCTAGTAGAAATAAGCTGAAGGAAATTGAGTGAATGAGTGATTATCAAAGTCACTCACACATACAGTCATGTAAATTTGATCTTTCCTCAGATAGGAAAATGTATCAAGCTACATGCAAACAGCTGTACATGAAAATGAGATATTTAAATCTTATAGATTAGCCTCTTCCTTATTTGCTTCATGTATCAAAGGCATTTTTAATAATTTAGCTGTCAAATGAGCCAAAGGAGTTTTAATCTTTATATACAACTGAATTCTGAAAGCATTATTAATATTTACAGCACATTACACAAGCATTTAACTATAGTGACTTTCTGTTTCCCTCATAACCTTGTAAATGTTGTTATTTATTCGTATTTCTACACTGGATCTATTAGCAACAGAAGAAAAGCAAAGCAATTTAAACCACACAGTATACATTAAAAAACATAGTTAACTAAATTTATTTGCCCGTGTGACAAAAAAGACAGTAAAATGTCTTGTTCTTTTTTATTTCTTTTTTTTTTTTTTGACAAATATCTAAAAAAAACAGTCCCAAAATTCATGTTTAGAATATATAAAACTAATATAAACACACAAAGCTTGCAGTTTTTCATTTCTAACTAAGTAAAGTTTGTTTATAAACTACTTTCGAGAGGACCGCATGCTTATGATTGCTTGCAGCCAGTCTCGCAATATTTAATTTATGATTCACCGATCAGACGATTTCTAAGCCACTATAAATATCCTAAGTTGCATATAACAGCCATTTTTGTTTCAAAGAATCGCCTCTTTCATCCTTACTCCTCCTCCTTTCCTAGATGGGTGGCATGGTGGCCAAGTGGTTAGCACTGTTGCCTCACAGCAAGAACGTCACTGGTTCTAGTCCTTACCAAGCCAGCTGACGTTTCTGTGCAGAGTTTACAGGTTCTCCCAATGCTCACGTGGGTTTCCCAAGGGTTCCCTAATTTCCTCCCACCGTCCAAAAACATGCAACTTAAATTAATTGAATAATCCAAATCAACACCATAGACATGCTCCTAGTAAGTTATCTTATAAGAGCAATTACTATCTGTTCATTAGCTACTACAGCAGGGGAGTTCTACCTGAGCTCAAACTCCCCTCTTGCCTTGCAAACAGGAGGGAGCCCTGGGTTTGAGGATCTTATGAGCTCAGGGATCTCTCCCAGGACAGCATGCTAAACAAGCTTTATAATCAATCATGAGCTAAGTGTGAACTCTTGAAATGGATCAACTATTTTTTTTTCACGTCACCTTAAACTTCAGTTTCTCATCTAATCTCAACCAATCATATGCTCTCTAGTATCTGACATGCCCCACCCCTTTCAAAAGGCTGTTTTGGAGCACATTAGATTATAAATTTCCTTAAATGGTCACCCAATTAACCCAACTATTTATTTAAAATCACTATTTAATCTCCCTCAAGTGGTTCCAAAACCACAAACCACAAAAAGCATAATAGTGGCACTTTAAAAGATGAACATGTTTCTCATGTCCTCATAAGCTCTGGCTCACATCAGCAGTCCAGCACCCGCTGTGACTGTCTTCTTTCACCTTGCCAGCTGCATGAGCTTATTTTTAATGGGACGTAAACATAAACAAGTATATGAAAACCCACACATGTATAAGTTAGTGGCGGATCTGTAAAGGAAAATCAGCTTTTAATGGATGTTTAAATGTTTTTGTTACATTCACACAGTTTTGACCAGCAGGTGTTCAATGATTTGGTGTTTGGATCTCTGAAACAGTTTTGAATAGTTTTGTCAAGCTTTGAAAACTGTTCATTTACTGATTTTTTTTTTTACAGTGTACAGTTTATGCAAACAGTAAAATTCATGTTACGCAAACTGTAACGTGGACTTTATACTGTAGTACACTTTGGGCATTCATTTTCCCACAAGTGAAATCCATTGAAGTCCAAATGAAGTCCAAACACAAAGTAGCAAGCAGAAGTACTTTATTTGTTTAAACAGGAAGCAAACACATTTTTTATCTAAGCTGACTATATTTCAAAATGAAAGATGATAATAGGTTTTAAAACTACATTGCATGTGCATGAATATAGATGTTTTCTTAAGGCAGACAGCGTGGGTCAATGGCAGTGTTTCCTTCCCCTTTACAAGCATAACACACATTCTCACTCACACAGCGGTACAGAGGAACAATAGCCGCAATCTTCTTGAATTCACTCTGAAGATCTTTTCCAATGTCAAACTTCCAGAAATTCTTGAAAGCAAAAGCTTTAATCCCACCGTGTTCCTTCCAGTTCCTCAGGCCTTCAAGAATATTGTGGTTGCTATCTGGATTCAGACATGTGTCCACACATGGGGACTCAAACGTGTAGAAAACCGAGCAGCCATCTTTTCTTTTATTCAGAAGTCGGGTCATTAGAGAATTGCCGGCAGGATTGAGCAGGAGAGACTCTGAATGCCTGTTGTATTGCTTCTTTTTACTGATCACAACTTTCTTAGTTCCTGCAGCGATGAGCTCTGCACCCTGGTAAAGTGCATTTGTTTCATCCGTTATAGCGTTTTTCACGTTTTTCACGTTTTTCACGTTTTCACGTCATGGCCATCTGCATCCACTCTCTTATAGCTGCAAAACAGTAAAAGAGATCATGTCGTGTTGTCATGATACTGGAATTTGAATACCAATCAGTACTGAATATTTTGAAACTTCCATTTCCCGATAACATTCATGCACTTTCTGTGAAGAGCGGTGAACTAATGACCTTCACGGCCAATCACAGTCATTTTTGTTGAGCATGAAAACGCAATGGATGTTTCTCAATTTCAAGAACACAGAGAACGGACTTGTGCTCTTGTGGAGAGCTGTCTTGCCAAGTTACCTCTGAAGAACGAACTCGGGAGAGCACGAGAACAGAGTTACCACGGAAGAACGAACTCAGCAGTGCGAGAATAGAGTTACCTCAAAAGAACGAACTTGGGAGTGCGCGGGAACACAGAACGCATCCTGTGAGAAATGAGATGTTGCAGTCTTCCTGATGGTCATGACCTTCACCTATTTTTAATTCATTCATTAATTTTCTTTTCGGCTTAGTCCCTTTATTAATCTGAGGTCGCCACAGCGGAATGAACCGGCCTATATTTAATGGGAATTTATTTAAACATTATGGCATTCATACAACGATGTAGAGGTCTGCAATCCCTGAATAAATTTCTAAATAAATCGCGGGAGCGGTCGGTAACGGGTTTAATTTGGGAAGGGAGCGGGCTGTCTAGCAATATCGCTCTCGACTCCTGAGCGAGCACGCGTATGTATGTGTGTAAATGAAATAGCGCGATGCTTTGTTTAGCTTGTTTGTTCCTATGTGTGTGTATGTGTGCGCACGCACGAATGAGAGGTGTGTGTCTGTGTGAGAGAGAGCTTTGTCTGTGTGTGTGCTTGGTGCTTTTGTGTGTGTATGCGTGTTAGTGCGCGCGCTTGCGAATGAGAGAGAGAGAGAGAGCTTTGCCTGTGTGTGTGCCCTTGGTGCTTATGTGTGTGTTAGTGCATGCGCGCGAATGAGAGAAAGAGAGAGCTTTGTCTGTGTGTGTGTGTATTTATACAGACAGCTTGTTTTAGGCTGGGACTGTATAGCTGGGTGATTTTCAGTTTTGTTCTCCCCCCGCTCTTTAGCGGGATCGGGGCGGGGTGGGCAGCGGGACAACAAATGCTTAATATAAGCGGGAGCGGTCGAGTTCGGGCTAAAACCTGGCGGGTGCGGGCGGGAGCCAGATTCAAAATTTAGTCCCGCGCAGATCTCTACAACGATGTATTGTTTTACACCTTTTCAATATGTTATGTTTATTTATAAACAAATTTCGAGAGGATCAAGTGCTTATGATGGTTCACAGCTGTTCCAACTTTAGCTAATGATTAATTATCCTATCAGATGATCCTTAACTCACTATAAATAACCAGACTTTTCTCATCTCAATAGCTTCATCTTGAAGAAACCCCCCTACCCAACCCTACTTTCCCTCCTTTCAAGCGGGCGACACGGTGGCCAGTGACATTTCTGTGCGGAGTTTTGCTAGTTCTCCCCGTGATCGCATGGGTTTTCCCCAGGTCATCCGGTTTCCTCCCACAGTTTAAAAACAAGCACTCTAAACAATTAATCCAAAATATTTTAGCCAAACTCTGAGTACATCCATATCTGACACTTAGCTACAATAAGCAGGAGGGGGAGTCATTGAGATCTACCTGAGTTCAAACTCCACTCTCGCCTTACAATGGGAGGGAGCCCAGGGCTCGAGGATCTTATGAGCTCATGTAACCCCGCCGGTCTTATGCCACCCAACCTGCTCCGAGCTGGTATCGAATCAGCGACCTTTCGCATGGGAGTCAGGCGCTCTACCAAGGAGGCTAAAGACCATGGCCTCTTGCGTCCGTCGCTAGAGCACCTTTAGAGGCCAGAGGAGTGAGGTTTACCTGCACAGCACTTACTAGCTGGCCTCCGTTACACTCACACCCCTAAACCTCACTCCCATCCGGGTCACGGCACCAATGTAACCCTGCCAGACCTACGCCGCCCAACCGGCAACCTTCCGCATGGAAGTTGGTCGCTCTAACAAGGAGGCTAAAGACCATGGCCTCTAACGTCTGTCGCTTGAGCACCTTTAGAGGTCAGAGGAGTGAGGTTTACCTGCACAGCACTTACTAGCTGGCCTCTGTACACTCAGGGCTCTCTACCAGGACAGCACGCCAAACAAGCTTTATAATCAATTATCAGCTAAATGTGAACTCTTTAAATATAAAACGAACAAAAGCCTTACAAATATACTTTGCACAATATAAATAAAAAAGATTTTAATACGAATTTCAGCAAGCAAACACCCTTATGTGTTCATGCCTCTATTAATATTTTCATATTAACGTTTACTTTCACCCTCTCATTTAGGGAATCTCCTGGGGTAAATAAGTTTTTATCTCTGAACTTTAATAATAAATATATATATAATGCTGCACTTCCAACCTTTATTCAGCTGCAATGGAACTTCTCAAGCAAGTTTTGTGCTCAAGTCTGCATCCATGTATCCTCGATGACATTACACGAGAAAACGAGGACGCAAGATCGCTAAAGATCGCATATTGAAAAAACAGCCAATGGCCATTCAGTGTTTAAGTACGCACTTAACAACGTTCAAATGTTAAAATGTTTTTTCCAGTATCATGACTACACTAGTTGGTGGACAGAGTACTGAAAAATGTAGCACTGCATATCAAAATAAAGTAGTGCAAGTAACAAAATTCTTGCTGCCTTAATTTTCTTAGTTGTTCTAGTCATCTTAACTTATTTTAATCAAACTGACTAAAATATGAAGTTTATCTTTGCATAACTTAAAAAAAAATCTAGTCAAAACCTGATTAGCTTATTAAAATGAGTTAAAGCAACATAAAAAAAACCTTTTTGTCATATCATTTTTACAATGTAAAGTGGAAGTATCTGCTCTAAAACCTACCCAAAGATTGAGTAAAAACGTAGCTCTTCTAAAAGTAATATGCTATGAAAAGTTTCACCTTATACCCAGCAGATTAAATATGTTTCGGTCACACTTTACAATAAGGTTCATTAGTTAATGTTAATAAATGCATTTACTAACATGAACAAACAATGAACAATAGATTTACTGCTGTATTTGTTCATGTTAGTTAACGTTAGTTAATGAAAATACAGGTTCATTGTTCATGTTAACTCATGGTGCATTAACTAATGTTAACAAGCATGGACTGGGATATTAATAATGCATTAGTAAATGTTTAATTATGATTAATAAATGCTGTACATGTGTTGTTCATGATTACTTCATGTTAGTAAATGCATTAACTAATGAACCTTATTGTGAAGTGTTACCTATGTAGCTTACATCAGTGAAATTGTCTTTTAAGCGTGTATTTACGTGTAAGTTATATTATACTTGTGAAGCAAAATCTGTGTGATCCAAGAGACAAAAATGTAGCTGTATTGATGTTAACCATTAGATTATATGACCTTTGAACCCTGACTAACAAGCTACAAGTGTCCAGCAGGTGGCGCCACAAAAACCAAGCTCATGCAGCACTGACAGAATACATGCAATTTGTGCATGTGTTTGAAAACGTAACATTCTGTAGTGCATTTAGTTATTATTTAATGCCATTTTGTGATTGCGGTCATTATCCAGTACAGATCCTGCATCTTCTTGGGCTCTTTTAACGCTTCCAGGCTGTACATGTTTGCTGCTTTTATAAATCTGAAGCGATTTTTCTATGCTCATTTTGATTGGATGGGAAATAGGGAACTGATTATTCTACTTAGCCAACTGTAGACAAGAAAAATAGTGAGTGCAGTTTGAGGGAAAATAGTGCAGTAATTATACAGCAGTAAAAATATAATCAAGCAAACGTAAAATTACACACTTTTAAATTACATATTAAAGTACAATTCCTGTGAAAAACTGCTCAATTACTTACTTAACACCACTGATTAAGAAACAATCCTGTTTACTGTTCCGATGCTTCCTCTTAGTTGCTTAACTTCCTAACTGCTAACTTTGAGGGTTTCATTTTCAATAGATACTGTAAAAAAACTTACTTCTGTTCGAAGAAGTTGATAATGCGAGCAAGAGTTGTGATGTCCAGGGATTCAACACTTTCTGTCCGGTCGGGAAGCAGAAAGAGCAGCAGGAGTCCATTCAGAAACAAAGCAAACCTCTAATGTCAAAACACACACACAGAAAAGCTGAATAAATACATTGGTAACACGTGCATAGTTTATCTTAGAAGAAATTATCCAAACATATCCATTGACTCTCACCAAAACCACATAATTAATAATTGTTAGTAAATATTGAATGGGACTGACCATGTTTGTTGTTTCAAATTTGCAAGTCCAGAATAATGCTGTGCGATCTCCACAGAAAACGGGTGATATGAGTGAAAAGGAAGTGGTTTTGGTTATGTCGAGTCTGGACCAGCCCTCTTCTTTGGTGTGATCTCTCTTCTAGTCTCACATAATGTGTGAAAATAAAAGGCCGATGCTCCAGCTAACACTGTGAAGACACCTCAAAATGGTTTTAAAAGTTTGTAGAGTGAGTGTTGCACTAAAATCATAAAACAATATCATTATTGTAATTCTCCGTCTGTGTGATTCGTATAAAATAACCAGAATCAAAATCAGAAGGAGCTTTATTGCCAGGTATGTTCACACATATGTGGAATTTGTTTTCATGACAGAAGCTTCTACAGTGCAACAGAGTGACAGAGACAGGACAAAAAAACATAACAAATATATTTAAAAATGGAAGTAAATAGTGAATGCAAATATACAAACTGACAAGTGTATGTACAGGTATATTACTATATACAATATGTGCATGTGCAAATAGGTTATATGCGGAGCTAGTGTTTCTTCCCATACGGATAAACTTCCCATGAGCGGTTAATGTGACTTTTTTTCCATTTTATAAGGTTCCTTTTACAGCATCAATGTTGTAATGTAATTAAAATACAATCAGTTTAACAGACTTTGGTATTCATTTAGTTGTTCAAGCGTACAACGAGACAAAAAGCTGTTTACTCGCACGCGCCCGTCAGAATCGGCAGGCTAGCGCAGAAACTCCATTTAAAGGTTCAGGACACCCTGGATAACTTTTTTTTATATTAACAGATTTGTGTGTGTTGAGCATCAGTTAAGACAATGTTAGCACCTGTCAGCTTTATTTGGGGGGAAAACTGGATAATTTTGAGCTTTTGTCAGCTAATTTCAGCTTCCGGGTTTAAAATGATTTTTGGGGCGGGATCAAAATCGGCGACGCAGCGCAGTACTGCAAGTGCAATGATGACGCGTCGGTTTCTCATTATTATTCTTAGCGGAGTTTTCTTATCCTATGAGAAGAGCCGGCTGCTTAATTATTCATGAGACCTGCCAGACCTGCCAGAGTCAAGCCCGAGCTGTGTCACGGACCCACGGGCACACAGTATTTAGCCGTTCATGAAGGCTCATATGCGTTTGTTTCCATGATCCACGCGGTTTGTTGCTTGTTTTCCCCCGCAATCTTGTCAAGGCCGATCATACAGCAAAGCTGTGTGTGTGCTGCTAGCATTTTTGTCGGAAGAGCAGCACGAGAATTAAAGAATGGCGGACGCAGACTTTCATCAGAAGTTCGTTTACATTCAGACACATCACTGTGCTGCTGTGTTTGCCTAAATCCTCCAGATTACAAGCAGGGCTAATGGTTAAAATAGACAGGTCAGGAGATCTGCTGCACTGAGTCTGCTGGATACGGGGATTGAGGGAGAAGTCCCCATTTATGCGGTTTACATGAACACACTTATCTTTATAATTATATAAATTGTGGTTATGTGTATATGAAATTACGAATAACAAATGTAGCAGGGCATTAAATCACTGTTTATTTCTTTGCATTTTTACTTTGTAAACTATAAACTCATGCGTCTCCTCATGGTTTGTGTCTCTTTTTGTGAGCTAGCTTCGTTCGCTCACGTTCTCCCCTGCTGGCCACGCCCACTCCTGCCCGATGCTCGCGAAGCTCCACGCCCATTAATCATGCATCTTTTGAAAAAATTCTAAAGTAGACTCTAACTGAAAGTGGGAGGTGTCATGGCCCTTTAAAAAATAAAAATCAAGTCAAATAAATGTTCATGTTTTAAAGTCATGGAGGGGAAAATGTAATTTAATGCAGTGATTCTTGTACAATCTGAGACCCAGTTGCCGGCCGGTGATGATTGCTGATTTTTAAAGAAAACAGATCTTAAACGTGCCAATTTTGTAAAGGCATACAGTTCACCTGAAGCGCATAACCCAGGTTTACTGACAAACTAAATGCTCTTCTGCATACTTCTGCATATACCCTATTGGCATGTAAAGTATGTTGTTAAATAAATAACTAAGTATATATTGTATAAAAAGTAGTGATGTTTGTTTCACAATTACTATCATAAAGTGTTCATGAGATGAATTGCCTGAGGGAAGAAACTGTTTCTGTGTCAATCCTGCTCTTTTATGGAAATTAACCATGGCTTTAAAGGGTCATTAGGCCTATAAAATTATATTAACCATGATGTTTGGTGGATTGATTATCATTTGCATAACCACAGTTTTACTACAAAATACTCTGCTTAAACTATGTCTTTTGTGTAGCCAAACCATGGTTAATTTGTTTAACTTGTACCATGGTTAAACCATAGGCTATTGCCTTTGATATCCAAATTCAATCCAGATAGCCTCTGAAAACAGCATTTTCTGCCATTTTAGGTGTAAATATCAGTTCTGAACAGCTTTTTCCACGTTTGAGGTAATTTCTAACAATAAATGAGAAGCTAAATTATGAAAGTATGGTTTCATTATGACACATATGTAGTGCTGTCGCCTTACAGCAAGAAGATCGCTGGTTTGAGCCTCGGCTGGGTCAGTTGGCATTTCTATGTGGAGTTTGCATGTTCTCCCCACGTTCACGTGGGTTACCTCTGGTTGCTCCGGTTTCCCCCACAAGTCCAAAGACATGCGGTCCCTGCTGAAAAATCCAGCTTAAACCAGCCTAGGCTGGTTGGCTGGTTTTAGCTGATCAAACAGGCTGTTTTTTGAGGGGTTTTGGCCACTTCCAGGCTGGTTTCCAGCCACTTCCAGCCTGGTCTTAGCTGGTTATGCTGGGAGATGACCAGCTAAATCCAGCTTGACCAGCCTAGCAGGCTGGGAGCCCAGCCAAAACCAGCTATGTCCAGCTTAAACCAGGCTGGTCAAGCTGGTTTTAGCTGGATTTAGCTGGTCATTTTCCAGCCTGACCAGCTAAGACCAGGCTGGAAATGGCTGGAAATCAGCCTGGAAGTGGCCAAAACCCCTCTAAAACCAGCCTGGTCGACCACCTAAAACCAGCCAACCAGCCTAGGCTGGATTTTTAGCAGGGGTAGGTGAATTGGGTAGGCTAAAATTGTGTGTGTGTGTGTGTGTGTGTGTGTGTGTGTGTGTGTGTGTGCGTGCGTGCGTGCGTGCGTGCGTGCGTGCGTGTGTGTGTGTGTGAATGAGAGTGTATGGATGTTTCCCAGAGATGGGTTGCGAATGGAAGGGCATCCGCAACGTAAATAATATGCCCCAGATTGATAAAGGGGCTAAGCCAAAAAGAAAAGGAATAAATGTTTCATTATTTTGATTAGCCTTGTAAAACTTAATGTCATATCTATTTAATAGGCCTATGTACTTATTTTATTTTTGTGTGTATTTGAAATATCAATACAGTCATTTAAATAATTAGATGTAATTAATAATTAAACTGTAAATATTAAATAAACATATGCAATTATTGTTTATTTAGCAACTTCCGCTAGGGGGCAGAATACATTAATCGCTAGTTTTCTACAGTGCAAAGGCGTTTTTGAAACTGTTCTCAATCGGTGTAACGTTAACAAAACGTATCACACCATAAATAACAAAAAGAGCAGTGGATGAAGTATACATTTACCTGTAATTCACTGAAACAAAACCTGCTATCAAAATCGACTACATCTTTGGTCAGCGATGCTAATTTCTTCAGTAGCCAGTTGACTCGTTACATTCAGGTAAATACAGTTTCCAAAACATTACACGACCGTATCACTGTATTTATTAGCCTTTAAGTTCACTGTACATGTACACCAAGTTATCATATTATTATTTTAAGCACACTGACATATGAGGTAAATTACATTTAAATGTTGTGTTGTAAATCAAAGTAGGCTCTGCTATTCTCAAATTACACCCTCATGATGGCCCCATCCACGTGTTTGTTCATATTATGTAGTTATGAAGGACATTCTTGTTCTAATCAGGTTGTAAGCTTTTATATTTTAATATAAGCTATGTGTGTGCAAATATTACGTTGTTTTTTTACTTCTCTCCTTCCTTTTGTTTGCCAAGGCTATTCAATTCAATTAAGCTACTTTCAAGGCTACAGGCCTACACTTTCATATTTTTAACTTCAACTTGTACTTTTACTTATACTTGCTACTCAAAAAAAGACTATATTCTTTATCTGCTTTGCTTTTTGTACAAATATCATGATCCTTAGCTGCTTTGTTTGTAGCATTGTAGGTTTTTTCTGACTGTAGAAAACATTTGGATGTAAAACAGTGATAACAGGTTTGATAAAAAACAGAATTAGCATTATTTTAAGACTGAATATGATTATATTAATATTAACTTGTGATAAATCTTGTTGGATTGTAGTTGAAATTGTCCTCCAATAGGGGGCGGCATTGTAATAGAGATACAACTGAACTGAATAAGAATGCATGGCAGATCTCAAGTACATAAAAAGTACATACATGGGTGACACTGTAGTTTGACTACCAGTTCTCACTATTTACTTGTGGCTAATTACTTGCCTGTTATTAAGCCTTATATGTTTACTTGTAAAGTCTACATGTTTTGCCTTATTTTACCCAATCAACTCCAACTACTATAACTTAAGTATTAATAAGCTGCAATCTAGGATGTTATTATGCTAAAAATCATAGTTACTGGTTTTTAGTAGTAAGACTTGTACATTAAATAAAGTATGAGCCATAAATGCACAGATAATGAGTGGAAAACCTGATATATATTTAAATTAGTGTATATGTACAGTATACAGTTTGTTTTGCGTTAAATACTCCAGTGCAGCTTAGCTTTAAATCAATTTTTGTTTTTATGGAGAAGAAACTAGTGCTTACTGGTCATATGTTTGAAACATTAACTACTTTATATTCACTTGTTTAACTGTGAAATGAATTTCCTCACAACATGACTCTTGCACATGTGATAGTTGTGTGTGTGTGTGAATGTGTCATATGACTTAAAAAAGGTTTCATCAAACTGTTTCTGAAGGAAAAAAGAAGCACTGTATACGTGTTACATATTTTTATTTATTCATTTATTCATTTGCTTGTCAGCTTAGTCCCTTTATAATAATTCGGGGTCGCCACAGCGGAGTGAACCGCCAACTTATCCAGCAAGTTTGTACGCAGAGGATGCCCTTCCAGCCACAACCCATCTCTGGGAAATATTTGTATTTATTTACTGTATTAATTTATTATTCTTTATTATTATTAT